AGTGTTCATTTGGATTTTGATTAGCATGAGCGGTAGATAAATTCGGATAATCTAGATAAAACACAAATATAATGAAAAATTTTCATTAGACAGATGACTTTGGTTAAATGAGAAATTACATAATTAATCTAAATCTTATCAATATTTCTAGCAACATTTCCCCTTAAAATAGAGCTTTCCACCTGTTCAAGTATTAACCATTAAATATACTTACCATCAACTACTTATATAGCCAATCCATGATGCAATCCATAATTCAATATTTAATCATCATAAATAGATATTTTAAAATCAATTCTTAGTCAACAGATTAAAATAATCTTCAATTTAATCCCAGTAAATCCTTACGTATTTCTACTTTATCTCCATATGGCTCACTTTCTTAATCCGGCATTAGCTCTGAAACTAATTTCTCTTTATATATATATATATATTTATTTATTTATATATATATAATGATTCAGTTACACTTCTAATCCTTCTCCCTTGATTATACTTCGCAAGATGGAACGTTTATATTATCCGTTTTACTTATTTTATTTAAAATCCACTCTATTATACGTTTTTCTTATTTTATCTAACATCTACTCTGTATGTATCAAAATTCTCAATTTATTTATATGGCAGTAATTATATTGCTTTAACTTATTAAAAATCCTTATTTCATTCTTAATCCTGAATCACATTAATCAAAACTATTTTAATCTAATAACCGCAACTTCTAAACTTGAAATTATAAATTGAATTTTAATAAGTCTTAAATTATACGGATTAAAATTGGATTTCGAATTCAAGTTGAGCATCTATTTCATTCTTAATCCTGAATCACATTAATCAAAACTATTTTAATCTAATAACCGCAACTTCTAAACTTGAAATTATAAATTGAATTTTAATAAGTCTTAAATTATACGGATTAAAATTGGATTTCGAATTCAAGTTGAGCATCTAGATTCCATGCTCTCTCTTGGGACCTCGTCCGCTGATCGCCGAACTGCCACCGCCTGCGGTGGCTGAAAAGTCGTGGATCTCAGAATCGATCATTTGGCTCGGATTTCACTCAGGAGTCCAATTTTGGTGTTAGTCGGGCGAGATCAGCCTTCTAATCAGCCGGAATGGGCTCGACAAGAGCCTAGTGCCGCTACCATCGTCGCCGTCGATCAGAAAAGGAAACTACAACTACCATCGTCGCCGTCGATCAGAAAAGGAAACTACAACTCGCCTGTGTTACAGCACTCGCCGGAGTCGGGAGTTAGAAGGAGACGCGACCTGAGCAGAGGCGAGCGGCGGCTGGAATCGCAAGGACTGGAGGTGCTTCTGTGTCGCTGCCAAGGAGAGACCGCAGTCGCCTACCCGCTGTGTTCACCAGAGACGAGAACCGAGAGAAAAGGAAAGAGGAACTGGTGACGCGATGATGAGAAGAGGTCGGCAGAGGGATGGCGGCTGCTGGTTCATGCCGGTCGGTGGAGATGATGGCTGGAAAAATCGATAGAGAGACAGAGATTGGTGCCGCTGAAATGAAAGAGAAGAAAGAAAAAAAAAAAAAAAAAAAAAAAAAAAAAAAAAAAAAAAAAAAAAAAAAAAAAAAAAAGCTTCTCTAACAATCTCTAGGGTAATCTACTTCGATTTGAACTGATTTGGTCCAACTCGGGAGTTTAGCCTGGTTTCATCTGATTTACAGATTTTTTTTTGGTTTGAAGATTCCAATTGATTTATGAATTCGATTTAGCAATAATAAAATATTTCATTTTAAATATCATTGTATAATCCCATTGGTTGAAATTAAAAACTAAATTTTTAAATGAAAATTTATGAAATTTTATTTTCGGATTATTTCAGTTTTATCCTTCCTAAATAAACTTTCAATCTTCATACAACCATAAAAAAATATACAGTTTTTTCCCTTTTTATCTCTTTCATAAATAAATTATTATGTATATTACATTTGAAAATTTATTTTTTGTAGAAAATATATAAAATTAAATCATTCAAACATAAAGAAAAAAAGAATGTTAAAAAAATCTATATTTTTTTTCTTTTTTTATCTATATCATAAATAAAATATTTTAAATTATAATCAAAATAAAATTAAATTTAAAAAATAAAATATAAAAATTATCAAATTTCTTATTATCATATATATTTATTAAAAATATAAAAATTATATTACAAAATTTCTTTGATTCATCCTATACTATTTATTAAGATATATAATTATTTAACTAAAAAGATAAAAAATTTAAATATTTAAACAACTCTTAAAATAAATTTAAAAAAGATAAAATTTAAATATTTAAAACTCTTAATTATTTATATGTTGAGTAATAAAAAATATTACGTAAAATAAATGTTCAATCCTCTCCAAATAAACCCTCAATTTTTCCTTCAACCATAAAAAAGAATATAGTTTTTTCTTTTCTATCTATTTCTTGAATAAAATATGATTTATATTCTATTTAAAAATTTATTTTTTAGAATATATGTCCAACAATTATAAACGTAGAAAAAGAATATACTTTTTCTCTTTTTATCTCTCTCCTAATAAAATATTTCAAATTATACTCAAAATAAAATCAAAATATTTAAAAAATAAAATATAAAAATTAATAAAATATAAAAAATTTTCAAATATCTTATTATCATATATAATTTATTTATCATATATATTTATTAAAAGATAAATTTAGAAAAAAGATAAATTTTAAAATTTTAAAATTCTTAATTATCTATATGTATTTATTTAAAGAATATTTTTTATAAATTACATCCAATTAACAATGTAATTTTCCAATTGATTATGACTAAGGCTATTTTAGAATATTATAAATGTCATTAAGGATGATATTAGTAATCTCAATATTTCCCCCTCATTCTCACATTTATATATAGTATAAATATAGATCGATGATAACTAGATATATAGCAAGACTACCAAGTCTTTGTGTACAATTTTTATTGATCGACTTCTCTAGGTAAGTCTATTTTGTTAAGAATTAATCTCAAATAATTCAATAATAACCTAGATCGTGCAAACCACTAGATTCAACAAAATAGATTGAATAAGAAAAGGTTGCAACCAACTAGATTTCAACAAATAAATAGATTGAATAAGAATAAGGTTGCGTACCTGAACATCGTTGTTCGTCGATCTTTGATGTTTATAGAATTAGCGTTTTTGCAAGCCCTTTCCAGAGAATTGAAGAAAGTCTGATTATCTTGGAAGCCAATACGATAAGGAACGTAAAAACTTGAATCGTATTCAACTCCCTCCTGGGCGACCACCGATCTTGTGTACCATTATTTACCTGTAGCGTTAAGTACAAATTCCATACTCTCTACGGTCTTAACGAAATAGAGAATAAGTATAATGGTCTCCTTACACTTTAATATCTTAAATAATTAATTGATACACTCAATAGTCAATTATTCACAATCTAAGACCACCATTTGTGAATTGAACTTTACAATTAGACATGCTGATACATATTTAATTTTACATTATTAAGGCCGCGCAATAAGAAAATTAAATCCAAACAATTCTCCCACTTGGGCGAACATATGTTAAATAAAAACATACACCAAAATGAGCTCAACAAAACGCATCATACCAAGGTACCAAAAAAACAATCTCGTCCATTAGTCTATATGATAAAGAGCTGAAGGAAAAACAATCGCCATAGATCTTCATTGACTAAGTTCATTCATTCAACTACATTACCCAATATCCCTAAATGACATATGATTCATTATTAGAAGTGTAGCATGAAAGAAACTACAATCAACATGTGAATCATTCATGTCTGTTTCCAAACTGCGTCACAACGTCTGTTTCCAACTGGTCACCAACAAAAGTGAGATCAAGCAAAACAACAATAATAATACAGAGTGTAACCATCAACCAAAATGAGTACTTAATAAAATTTCATAATAAAACATATCCAAGACAAAATAGAGCATTCAAAAACATAATGCATACATAAAGAGCAAACTCCCACTAAAACTAGACAGTCTCAAACAAAACGATACCCATATGAGCGTCATGGAAAAATTTCGATATCACTGCCTTTGTAAGCGGATCCACAATCATAGAGTTTGTTCCAATATGCTCTAAGGATATCTGTCCACTCTATACCCTCTCCTTCACAGCCAAGAACTTAATAGCCAAGAACTTAATCTCAATGTGTTTTGATCTCGAGAAGAGCTCCTGTTGTTTGCGTTGTCGAGAATAAAACGGATCTGACCATGCGTGTTGTCCACATACAACTTCTAGCTGTCTTTCTATTCCAACCTTACTACCATGCGCAGGCATCGGCCACCCTTAGTAACAAGGTGTGAAACAACTCTAAAATTTGTTTACTTTTTCAAGAGATTTTCAGACTTAAATTTAATTAAACCGGATACACTGGAAATTTTATTTTAATTTTTTTAATTGCAAAGGACACTGTTGAGAAACCCGAACCGGAAAACCGATTGAAAAAGTCGAAAAACCAATCGAAAATCCAAAGATTGGCGTTCGATTTCGAAAACCGAATCGGAACCGGTTCGACCCAAACCCATATCTAGAAATTCCCTTTCCTAGAAAATTCCCTTTCTTTTTTTTTTCCAGCGCTGCACCTCTCTACTCCTCACCATCACAGCAGCGCCTCCTCCTTCCTCTTCTTCTTTCTTCTTTCTTTCTTTCGTTCTTTCCCTTTCCTTCTTCCTCTCTTCTTCTTTCTTGCTGTGACTGCACCTGCGTCGACCTTAGCCAGCAACAACAGAGGCGCGATCCACAGCCAGTCGCACCGTCTCCATCGCGCGCAGCACCGCCTCCACAGCCAGTCGCACCGCCTCCATCGCGCGCAGCACCGCCTCGCCGCTCCTCCGCGCGCCACAGCCAGCGGCTCCGCCTGCAGCAACGCTTCATCCTCGGCCAGATCGCAGCGCCACAGCTCCTCGAGTTCATCGCGCCACCACAGCCCCTTCTACTTCCGGTCAAGCGAGCGCGGCGCCACCACGTCGCACCACCATCCTTGCTGTCCAGTAGATCGCGCCACTTGCTCGCAGTCCCGATGCGCGTAGCTCCGATCTAGCACGCGTAAACATTTCCGATCTAGCGAAATTCAACAAAAAGAATTATACTTGGGATCGCCCGAGTCCATCTAGTGCTCCTCCAGGACAGAATCAAAGCTAGAAAACCTTGTATTTTTAAGTTAACTAAATTTAATTTTAGTAATCTTGATTTGTTAAATTAATTTAGCAAATTCTGATTAGTTTGAATTAATTTAATTTAGTGTTGATGACGTCGATAATAAAAATATATTTGATTAATTAAAATAAATTCTGGGTAATAAAATAAAATTTGTTGGGAAATTTTGATTTATGGAATTAAAGAAAACTTAATATAGTTGATGTGGATAAATGTGGAGGACGGGGAAAAATTAAATTGATGGAGGATGGAGAAATTTTAATTGATTTGATTGCCGATGAGGCTGTGTGATTTGGAGTTTATTAGAATAAAATTGTTGTACTTTAAACAGGTGGAAGTCCAATTTGAAGGGAGATGCTGTCGAAATTTCGGTTTTAGAAAATAAAATGATTCGGTAGCAAAATAAAATTTATTATAGGAAATTTAATTAATTTATAAAGAGTAAATATTGATAGAATTAAATAGGTTTAAGAATAGGTAGTGTGATGAATAATATTTTTATTCTGATATTATTCTTTTTCCCGATGTATTTTACTTTTGCTTAGATCGCTCCGGCCATCTAGTGCTCCTCCCGATAGAATCAAAACTAGAGTTCGCTCTCCACCACATGAGTTAATAATAATAATGCATTATCAACACTGCATTTGCATAACATTACATTTTTATATCATTTACATATTGTATTTTCTCATATATATTATGTTATGAATCACTATAATTATACTTGTGGCAAATTGTGCATTTGGATGAAATTGGTTGATTATGATAAATGAATTGTTTGATATTTGTGCTGTGTATATACTAGTGCTCTGTTTGTGGGAGTTGGGATGAAGTTGCGGTCACCATGGGTTGTTGAGACGGTCGATAAATAAGGATCCTGATTGAACTGAATGAAATGGAACCGTCGGCCGGTAAAATGGAGATCGGCGCCCCCTCGTGTGCACCTGATGAACTGGATGAAAATGATGTTGATGATAGGGAAAAGAAAAGAGAGAATGTTAAAAATAAAATATTGAAGAGGACTGGTCAAGTGAGGATTAGGACCGTCGGTCCAAATATGGGGATTGGCTCCCCGGGTGCACATGTTTGAGGGATGGGCTGTTTGAGAGGACGGCTCGTCGGGGGATTTTAGGTGACGGCCATGACTAATTCCACGTGATGTATTATTTGAAGGTGATATTGTTGTGCGTGCTGATATGAATGACATATTGAGTGACTTGTTGTGTGTTCATTCAGATACTAGGTGGCATTTTGCTTGCCTGTATGTGGTGGATTATTTATTATTATTCACTAGTTGCAAAACTCACCCCCTCTCTCCAAAACCTCTCAGTACTAGGAAGCAGTGATTACGATTGAAAGCTCTGCAATCTTCTCCGCCCAGAGTTATAAATGTAAAACTTTATATTTTTGTTATTTAATTTTGGTTGTTATAAGTACTCTTTTCAGATTATTATTGAAACTCCGCAGTTATAGGGTGTGTTTTAAATTGGGCCTTATTGTTAGCACTACGCTGATAAATTAATATTGTGTAATTAAACTGTAAGGTAACTAGTAAGCCCTTATTGTGAGTATGATATAATTGTGAGATAGGCCCTGGTTAAATTTTATGTATTATTTGATTATTGGGCCAGATGTTGGAAAGAATTTTATAAAAACTTATATCTCAATCCTATGGGCTTACTGTTGTTGAAATAGGAGGAATCATGTAGACAGATTGGAATTAATTTAGGCTTATACGGGCTCGGGGGCCTTAAGCTTACCTAGCCCCTAGTGCCGGTCCGGCCAGGAAACGGTTTCGTGGACAAAGGTGGTATCAGAGCAAAGTCATAAGTCTAGATGTAACTGCGGTATAATCCTTGTTCATGTCTTGGACATAGTCTTCCTTGCTTTCCTCTTCAGCGTTTGTCGCAACCAGTTAAGTTAAGTTGGTTTTAATAAGGTAAAATTTTGTATCCTTGTTCTTTAGAGATGTGATTTAGTTACTTGATGCTAAGGGGTGGTTAAACAAAAACCCTTTTGGAATTAAATAATTTCATATATAATTTAAGTCTGTAGAAGATAAGTTTATTATAGGATTAAATAAGTGAGGTTAGTTGATGAAAGTGTGCTATATTTTTTTATTTAATACGTGTTGAATGTGGAATAACATATTAAGAATGCATGAATGTGGGTATAGGTGTGCTTGCGGAATTGAGAATGATTTTGCTAATAATTTAACAAGAGAGAACTAAATGATTCGGATCGAGGACCATCAGATCTAATTTAATTAGAGTTGATGAGTTATATGAAATTTGATGAAAATTACATGATGTTGAGTTAGTGGAATTTCTTATATTTTATTGAGTAATATTTTCTGGATGGAATGGATATTACATGATTTTTATAAGGTCTGAATGTTGAAGGATTTGGTGCGATTTGATAATAATTGGGATAGTATTTTTCATAAAGGAATTTAGACTTATATTCAGAAAAGAAAAGATAGACTTTCTATTGGAGAGAAAGAGAGAAGAGTTTGATACTGTAATTGATAGCATTTAGTTGAATAAATAGTTGATAAGATCACGGACCTTAGCTTGAGGATGACAACGGAATTAAATAAATTTAATTTCGTTGACGTAAAGCAATTAAAATAAGGAATTTCTATTAATTAGTGCAACTTTTGCAAGTTGCTTGTTTATTAGATAAAGAAGGGAGTTATATTGTCCTTTGGTTAGAACAATGAAGGTAATTAGAGTATTTTCAATTCATTAGTAGCAAAGCTGAGGTTTTTAATTTACCATTGCAGGAACAGTTGAAACTGGTATAAGAAGGAAAAGGTGAATTTGGGTAGTTTTAACAAATTAATGAAGAGAATACATGTTAGTGTTTGAACTAAGATATTAAAACTAGAGGATTATTGGATGTGATAACAGGGATGGTTAAGACTAATCTGGATTATATTGGAAGTGCCAAACTCATGTGTGTCGAATCAGATCACTAATCAATTTCAAATTGCTCATGGTGGGACTATTGACACGGAGGGTACCAATTAGAGGCGAAAATTTTGATACATAATGTAGATCAATGTAAACCCTACTCTGATCCTTAAGCCAATTGGTAGCAATTATGATTGGAATGAATAGAATTGTGTTATAAAATGTAGTTTGCGACATATCGTAATGGTTTAAGGGAAATATTTAATTAAGTTAGGTGCATTTGAGGAATGGTACATTGAAACTCAGATGTGAGGGATTCAATGAGCTATTAAACCCTGTTTGGAGTAAAAGAATATAGAGAGAAACTAATTAAGTTGAAAATCTTCCTAGATCATTAGGTTAAAATTTTACAATTTTTGGAGGTGATAGACATTTTTATGATAGACTGGAGAAAAAGGGAATAACCTATGATATTATTATCTGAATAGTTCTTTAACACATTCATTGGGATTAAGAATTAAATATAAAACAATTGGACAAGTGTAATCAGGAAATTAGATTATAGTTTTAATATCCTTAATCTCATACTTAGCTAGAGCAAAGGCAATACTTGTTTAGGATTTTCTGGATACGTAGACCTAGGTTAATTGGATATAAATTACGGTTTGGAGAATTTTTACATCTTGATTAAGCTTGTAAAAAAAGTAGGACTGATTTCATGATGGAATGGAGTATAATAGAAACTGTGTTTGCGAATTTTAGAAAATAAATAAGAATTATTCGGCCATTGGCAACAACTAAATTGCGCTAGTTTGCATAAGCTGTCTGTTCATAATTAGTTAAGAAATGGTATGATATGCATAATTCGGGAAAGAAGGATTAGGAGAGGTTAATAACTAAAATAGAGACCTTGACGTTGTGAATTGAAAATTCTTCTCTACTATAGTCGTGTCTATTATTGTTTTTATACCGAGACATTCTCCATTAAGTAGGAATGAGAATAAATTATACATTTTTGTTGCGGAAAAATAGCTATAGTTAATAAAATATTGTGATTGAGATTGAGATAGAAGTCAGTATATCCTATCAGTTTGAAGCACTGTAGCTTAGAGAAAGTCATGATTTGTTTGAAATAAGGCTTAGTAATAACCATGATTTGTGCTCTTTAATTGGAAAGGATTGAATGGTATTTAATGGGTTTAGAAGTTGATAATTAATAATACAGGATTCTACAATGGAAATAGTAATTAATTTGATTGAATATGTGGATTCTTATTCAGTTAAGATTACCATAATGGGTTGGTGTATTGAGTTTCTTATGGAGTGATGATCATTGCCTATGATAGATAGTGAGAGAATAAAATGACGATACATCAATGTAAGGACACATGATATAAGGCTAATGAGGACAAACCCTTACTTTGAGCAGATGTTATAAAGTGAATAAAATTCTTACGGTGTAAAGGTGTAATATTATGTGTCGAAATCGTGCTAAGTTATGAATATTGACTCTGAAGGTGACAACTATGTAGACAATTAGTATGATTCACGTGTAAATTAACTATTAGGGATGATGTATCTTTATAATCATTCTTACCCTTCTCTATAAATTAGATTTTCTTCCCAGGTCTGTTTCATTGGGGTTTTGTTCTTAATTATTTAACATTTAAGAAAAAAATCAGATTTCACCACTACTGACTAACGAACTGCAGCTATTATGTGAGAAGCATAAACCACCCATTTGTCTGTAATACCTAATTTATTGTATCCTAGTTTCATTGTTATTTTCAAAATTTCGAGGACGAGATTTATTTTTAAGGGGGAAGACTCGAAACAACTTCAAATTTTTATTTTCAAAGAATTTTCCAATTAAATTTAATAAACGACAGTCTTAGGAAATTTATTTTTAATATTTTAATGCAACACTGTGAGAAACCGAAACCGAGAAAAACCGATTGAAAAGTCGAAAACCAATCGAAAATCAAAGATTTGGGTCTAATCGAACCGAATCCGAACCGGTTCGACCCACACCATCTTAGAAAATTCCCTTTCCTTTTTTTTTTCCCAGCGCTGCACCTCTCTATCCTCACCATCACAGCAGCCGCCTTCTCCCTTCCTCTTCTTCTTCTTCTTCATTTCTTTCTTTCTTTCTTTCTTTCTTCCCTTTCTTCTTCCTCTCTTCTTCTTTCTTGCTGTGACTGGCGCCTGCGTCGACCTCAGCCAGCAACAGCAGAGGCGCGATCCACAGCCAGTCGCACCGCCTCCATCGCGCACAGCACCGCCTCGCCGCTCCTCCGCGCGCCACATCCAGGGCTCCACCTGCAGCACGCTTTCATCCTCAGCCAGATCGCAGCGCCACAGCTCCTCGAGTTTCGATTGCGCCACCATCCTTGCCTGTTCCAGTAGATCGCGCCACTTGCTCGCCGTCCCGAACGTAGCTCCTGATCTAGGCACGCGTAAGCCTTTCCGGATCTAGGCAAAAATTCCAACAAAAATTATACCCTTGGCGGTATAGAGCAATTCTTGCTAATTCTCAGAATTTATTTTAGTAATTTGGGTATAATTTAACTTGTTAATTTTTGTTAACTAAATTAATTTTAGTAATCTTTGGATTTAGTTAATTTAATTTAGCAAATCGATTAGTTGAATTAATTTAATTTAGTGTTGTGAGTCGATTATAAAAATATATTTGATTAATTAAAATTAAATTCTGGTAATAAATTAAATTGTTGGAAATTATTGATTTATGGAATTAAAGAAAAATAATAAGTTGGATGTGGATAAATGTGGAGGACGGGAAAAATTAAATTGATGGAGGATGGAAAAATTTAATTGATTGATTGCCCGATGGATGGGCTGTGTGATTTGGAGTTATTAGAATAAATTGTTGATACTTTAAACAGGTGGAAAGTCCAATTTTTAAAGGGAGGATGCTGTCGAAATTTCGGTAGAAAATAAAATGAATTTCGGTAAGCAAATAAAAATTTATTATTAGAAATTTATTAATTATAAAGAGTAAATATTGATAGGAAAATTAAATAGGTTTAAGAATAGTAGTGTGATGAATAAATTATTTTATCTGATATTATTCTTTTTCGATGTCATTTTTACTTTGCTTAGATCGCTCGGGTCCATCTAGTGCTCCTCCCGGATAGAATCAAAACTAGAGCTTCGCTCTCCAACACAGTGCAGAATAATAAATAATGCATATCAACACTGCATTGCATAACATTACATTTTCTATATATTTACCATATTGTATTTTCTCTATATATTATGTTATGATCACTTATTAATTATACTTGTGCCATAATGTTGCATTGGATGAAATGGTGTTTATGATAATGAATTGTTTTGGATTATTTGTCGCTGTGTATTATCACTGTGCTCTGTTGTTGTGGAGTTTGGGATTGAAGTGGGTCACCATGGTTTGTTGAGGACGGTCGATAAATAGAGATCCTGAATGAACTGATGAAAGTGGACGTCGGCGGGTAAATGGAGATCGGCGCCCCCGTGTGCACCTGCTACTGGAACTGATTGAAATGATGTTATGATTATGGAAAAGAAAAGAGAGAATGTAAAAATAAAATATTTGAGAGGACTTGGTCAAAGTGAGGATTTAGACGGTCGCCAGGATATGGGGGATTTGGCTCCCGGTGCACATGTTGAGAGGATGGGTGTTTGAGAGGACGGCTCGGTCGGGGATTTTAGGTTGACGCCACGACCTTAATTTCCACGTGATGTGATTATTGAAGGTGATATTGTGTGGGTTGCTATATTGATGACATATGAGTGACTGTTTGTGTGTTCATTCAGTATTTTACTAGGGTCATTTTGCTTGCCTGTATGGTGGTGTGTATTATTTATTATTATTCACTGAGTTGCAAAACTCACCCCCTTCTCTCCAACCTCTCAGGTACTAGGAAGCAGCTGATTCGATTTGAAAGCTCTGCAATCTTCTCCGCAGAGTTATAAATGTAAAACTTTATATTTTTGGTTATTTAATTTTGGTTGTATAGTTACTCTTTTATCAGATTATTATTGAAAACCTCACGCAGTCATAGGGTGTTTTTTTTGTTTTTTTTGGGGGTTTTTTTTTAATTTTTTTTTCTTAAATTGGCCTTATTGTTAGCACTTACGCTATAAATGTAATTATTTGTGTATTAAACTGTAGGTAAAAACCTAGTAAAGGCCCTTATTGTGATTATGAGTTATTGTGAACTGGCCCTGGTTAAATTTTAATGTATTACTTTTATATTGGGCCAAGATGTTTGAAAATTTTATAAAACTTTATTATCTTCAAGTCATTATGGGCCTTACTTTTTGTTGAATCTCTCTCTT